GAGGCCGCCGCTCGCCACGACCTCTCGCTTCCCAGCATTGCCCTAACTATTGTCGGAAGCGAGTGGTCTCCCCCTATCTCGTCTGTCAGTACTCTGCGCAGCGCTGCAAAGGCAGGGCACACTTGCAGCGTGTTCTGCGCCGAGTCCTCCTCTTCATGCTACATTGGTGGCAGACCGCTGTCGCTTCCTTCCCGATGCGACACAGGTTTGTTGATACCGAAGCAATCGTGTCCGGTGAATACCTGCGTCGTACGGTAGGTGAGCCTACCGAAACCTCTCCTTTACCACCTATCGGCAGTGTGGCTGGAGAGCCCCAAGGATTTATTCGCCGGTATGGGAACGTATCTTCCCACGCCATCTGGCTTGAACAAATCATCAGGCCCAAAGCCCGAAGCTCTCGACAACCTCCGGCCCCGTGAGCGCTGTCGAACCTGACCAGCGAAGCTCGTACGCCTATAAATATAGAAACACACTGCCGCCTGCAGCTCGAAGGGAAAGCGCGAATACAGACTCCTAGAGTTCGGCTCATCCTGACTAATTGCCTCAATCGTCGCAAATCTAATAACGCTATTTGTATTATAAATATTTTTTTGTAATTTGCGTACAACTATGTAAACAATTACAAAAGCGCACAAAATAACACGAAGAACATAGCATACTATGGTAAGCTAGTTAAATATTTAAATAATATAAACCTACTACATTATGCACTACTATTTACACTTTCATTCTTCCTCCGTCTTTAGTTCCGTTTATAGTATCGGTTTTCCATCGCAATTGCATATTTTCTGGGGAACAAACTCCTTCAAACGGTAATTGCGTCAAGTGTTGTCCCTTAGGATCCCGTATAACGTAACGATTTCTAACATCTTAAGAATTTGATACAGACCTCTAAATATAGATAATAATTTTTTACTTATAGCAGGTATAGCCGGTGTAGTCTACATTTTTAATAATGACGTAATTATCTATCACATGTTGAGTTGGGTATTTATGACGCTTATCCTAATAATTCTTGTTATATCTATTGCTTGTTTGTATCCTAACAACTGTTTTTTTTCTCTAATATTATTTAAATTTCGCTTATCTGAAATTTGTTCTTTTAAAATTATACGGAAATCATCACTAATTTTCCCTGTTTGGTTAATGCGAAATAACAGCCTGTATACTCGTAGTATCTCCTATCAAACAATTCACACTATTATTTAATGTATATTCTACATAAACTAACACTCGATTCCATGTACCAATAGTAAAGCTTAATTTTGACAATATTTGTGCAAGAGATTGATTTATTCTTTCTATTTGACCATTAGTGTGTGAAGTCGCCGTGGCTATTAAAATGTGCTGAATTCCTCACTCTGATACAAATTTTGTTGAACTTATTCTACGTAAAAGCACTACATCATACAATTTTATACATACCATTTTCCTCGGTTTACTATATATAGAAAAATAAAATTTTAAATATCGAACAATTTCATCTGCATTTGTTGTAACTGTTGGATAAAATTTAACTTTGGTGAGCCAATCTATAATTTCAAAAATATATTTCTGCCGATATCTAATACGTTCTGAAAGATCATAATAATCGATGCGAATACAGTAAAAAGGAACTGATCTTTTATCAGGGCACTGTAATGTTCCCCCAAATCGATTAGCAATAGTAAAATACGTGATACATTTTAAACATTATGTAACAAATTGTTTAATTTTTTCCTTTCTATCTGGAAACCAATAAACTGGAGATAAGTATTCAAGTGTTTTATTTACTCCTTAATATCCCATTTCTTCGTGGTTTGTTCTAATCATGTTTTCTTTTATTTATATTGGAACGTAAAATAATAATTTATTACTAACTTTCCTATAAACTAATCCGTTATTTAATTCGAAATACTTATTTTCTTCTTGCTGCAAGGCACCGTGTAATTGCTTAATTTGAAGATCTTGATGTTGTAAAATAGTTAAATTTTGCTCGAAACTATTTTCGAATTCAGGACTTAAGGCGTCAACACGTACTAATTTATTCCGTGACCTAGGTTCTAATATATATTGATAATTTTTAAGAGTGAGAAACCATTGCAAAATTTGTGGATTTACTTCCTTCCGTTCCAATGTCAATTTTAAACCCTGGAAATCGGTAACAATTTGGCCTGGAATTCCTTGTAAATAAATCCGAAAGCGTCCTAAAGAGTAAATTCTGGTCGAAGCCTCCAATTCAAAAGTGTGGTACTTGGCTTCTGTTTTGCTAATTCTTTTGCTAAAGTAACATACAGAGTGGAATTTCCCATCTATTTGTTTTTGCAATAATATAGATCCAAAACCATGGCAGATTGCATCGCAATGCAATTCCGTTTCGGCGGATGGAGAATAAAATGCCAAAATAGGATCAGACATTACTGTTTCCTTAAGACTTTCAAAAGATTTTATTGTTTCATCTTCCCGTCGATAACTTACTTTAGATTTTAATAGATCATATAACAGCTTTGCTTTTACTGTGAAATCTCTTATCAATTCTCTGAAATGAAATACTAGACCTAAAATCTATGATTCTCTATAATTTCTGGATACGAGATACTCGTAAACTGGTTGAATATTTTCTCAATTTGGTTTGTCTCTGGCTGCACTAATGCAATATCCCAAATAAATAATTCCTTGAAACAGAGAAGCACATATTTCCAGTTTCAATTCCAAACAGTTTTTAACTGCTATTGTAAGAACTTCTTTCAAAATTGATAAATTTTCATCGATCGTCTTTGCGACGATTAAAATATCTAAATAAATTAATATTTTCCTTTGGTCTAAGAGCTTTCGAAATATGGTGTTGATAAGATGCATGAAAAATAAAGGACCATTTGATAATCCGAATGGTTTACGGACATATTCAAACTGACTCATAAAGCTATCAAAGGCAATATATTTAATTGAATTCTCATTTAAGTAAACAAGATGAAAAGCATCTTTTAAATCTAACTGCGTAAAATAAATTTTATCTCACAATTCATCAATTTGATCATCTGTTCTAGAAATTGGAAAATGATACCTTAATTATATTTTATTTAGATTTCTGTAGTCTACAGCCATACAATACTGTCCAAATTTGTCCTTACTTTATACAATCGGGCTGCAATATTGTGATGTACTTGGACGAACAATTTTACGTTTTTCTTCATCTTTAATGATTTCCTCCATTACATTTCACTCACAATTAGATAATCGTTTTAGATTTTAATACAGTGTGTTACTGACGTGAAACAAGTCAGCCCGTAGGTCAAAAGAGCAGAGTGGCAAGCGGATTCGGCTGTACGCTCCATTTCAGTTCGCGACTCGGCCAGTAACAAAGATGTGTCGAAACTACATAATTCCACCACTACTATAATACTGAATTATCTAATTGTCTGATCAATAATCTCTTCCTCGGATTCTTCGGCTTCGGAAATTGTTGCCCCGTTGGTCGTTTTCAATAAACTGGAATTTGTTAAATGTTCACAAATTCACTTCGCAATATTTCAACTTGACCACTACAATCTAGCGTGAATATGTTGTAAATTCTCACCAAATCTCCAAAACTAATGTTTCCGTGGCCCAAGTGGTCTTCTGCGTCAATGCCGAGATATCCACGTTAAAATAAAAAGTTGACTTTGCTGATGCTTTCCTGAAATAATCGAAAATCAACGAAATTTCACCTATAGTCGTAATTTTCAGAATAACCGTTTTCACTACCAAAAAGTTACGAACTAGAACACTAATTGCACAAATTCAATCCCACTTTGCTATAACTATAGTACGCGTAAATGAAAAGTTAAAGTTAAAGTAGAATATTGATAAATTTAAGAAGTTACAAATCACACATAATGAAGGATCCTCGCCGTCTCGAGCGAGAATCACGAAGCGCACACGTCCTGAACCTAAACAAACAGGTGGCGGACCATGAACGTAAACTGAAGTATATAATATAAAATATTTCAAAATTCATTTCTATTGTGTAATAGGTAGTTAATTTTCATAAAGAATATTGTATCTGGTAACGGTTGCTAGTGTGTAATATGTTGTAAATCGGTCTTCAAAGAACACAAATTTCAGTGGAAATCTGCGTGCCAGATTGCGTAACAAAAGCACACATTTTTATGGGATCTTTTTGATGGAAATGACCTGTCTTGAATCGAAGATCCAGACAGCGGACAGCTCGGGCCACTTTTTTAACCTTGCCATCGCCAAACGTCATCAACTCTCAACAAACACAATTTTTCGCGTATCCGCCACCAACGAAGCGTTCTTCCTGCGCACCAGGAGTGCAGGTCACACATCTTGGTTTCGCTCATTCGCTACCCGAAACCGGCCATAATCAATTAGCAAAGATTCAGCGCAATCTTTGCGTACTGCAATCAAGTGGAATGTTCTGTAAATTCACACGATACAATTACATTGTTTCAAAAATCTAGTCGTAGTCATTGCACATCGCCTCATATTTGAATAAAGTTTTGTTCTTATTTGTTTAAATTGTGCCTTTCTTTTGCTCACACACGAAAATGGTTCCTCAAAACGATACAGAATCGGTGCAAAGAGACCAAGGCTCGAAATAATCTAACTATCACGAGGTGTAACAAGAGAAAATATCAATGCGCAACGTAAGAGACCAGCACCTCCGTGGCGTTCGTCACACGTTTCTGAGGCTCAACAGTTCACACCTTACGTAAATAAAATAAAATTTCGTATTTAAATTATGTAATGCATACTGTAATACATAAAAAGTTGATGAGTTCATTCTCTTAAATTTTATTTTCACTTTGTAAAAACAATTTGCAATTTGAATCCGTTAACGCTCACGGTACACTTACATCAATCCTATACGCAAATTTCGCATACGTTACCCCAGCACACCGACTGTTCTGTCCACCAGTTATAGCGTCCCTGCCTCGAAAATACAGTGTCGTATACACTCTGGATCAAGCCCGCAATGAAAGACAAGTACAATGAGAAGATTACAGTGTCGAGCCTACGGGAGGAAGAGGCACTTATAAGCTGAACTTATAAGCCGAATACATCCCAGTCCGACATCGTGACTCGGAGAATACTTATCACCCGAGTCTACTGCTGATAGCGTTTCTTCATAAGTTTTTTTTCCTTAAATCTATTATCACGCGTCATCTTACAATTAGTAATTCTGCGACCATCGTCTGTACTCGATCGTTCTCCAACGCGCCGCCATGAAGTTCGCGGTGTCCGTCGCGCTTTTCCTCTTCTGCATCCTATGTGTCATCAGGCAGTTGCAGTCTGCCAGGATTCTAGCGATCGTTCCAACACCTTCCTACAGTCATCAGATCCCGTACCGTCCACTGTGGTTAGAACTGAATAAACGAGGGCACGATGTCGTGCTCGTTACTGCGGATCCGATTCCGAACCTGGACCGGAAAAACTTTACGCAGATCAACGTTGGCCAGTCCTACAGTGACATAAGGAAGATCGACTTCATTAAGATGCGATTCGACAAAGTCAACTGGCTGACGTTCACCGAAGAATACTTAATCTCCTTGACCTATTCCTTTGCGGAGAACGTACTGAACAACACGGATATGAAAGGGTTGTATGCGCCTAACAGCAACGAGCATTTCGACGTTGTGCTAGCCGAATTGCTTTTTTCACCCGCTGTGTACGCCATTGCTCACAGATTCAACGCACCGTTGATAGGTACGTTTTAATTATGATTTAAGTAGATTAGTGTTTGGTTGAACAATGTGTACAAGGAAATTGAAAAGAACTGCGAACGCTGTGTTTTGAAAGATGAAATCAAAGAAAGTGCCCTAGAAAAAACAATAGTAGAGACGGGCATTGCTATTGTTATGTCTTTGGAATTCAGAGACGAAATGTGCGAGTCGTTGAAAATTATGGAAGAATTACGGAAACTTTGTTTACGTGTGTATCAATATCCGCGTATTAATTTTTTATATTATTTTGTCGAAATGTACTCTATATTTGATTTTATTAAAATTACATATTTTAGAAACTTATGAAATATTTGGTTCCACAGGCGTCCAATGAAAATATTTTTCTTCCTCTAAGCGCATGTACGTGCAATGTAAATACGTGTAATTACATATTACAACTTTTTGAACTGAATGAACGGATTTATAATAGTGATATACATATGTATTACGCATGCTTTTCAGTACACCTGCAAACTTATGACCATTAGCCTTTCTGACAACGTGGTTACACCTTGCAAACTCAGAAATTTCATGAATTTGCAATTTGATTGAAATCTACATTCACGCTTTGGTTCTACGAATAAGCTTTCGGTACTATCTTGAGATATTTAATGATTTCGAACCTCAAAAATACATATTCATTAAGTCCTGTTATCATATTTCAAACATTGTTTAAACGGTTTAGAAGAGATTTTCATGGCGTATGATTTGTGTGTCCCAAAGAGCTATCAGGTGTAATACCTTCTAGCTACAGTAGTTATTTAATTGATATTACAGATTCAGATACGATTTCACTGACGATATCCCAAACAAGATAAAAATTTCATCTTTTTTATTGACAGATACTTGCGTTTGTGTAAATTTCAGGAATCTTCCTGACATTCAATTGAATGGTGTCCTACGGTATTCATTTGCACTAACTTCACAGCTTTACGAAACTAAACAGATGAGTTGAAGCGAATGCTTTTACAAACAGAATGACGTGTTCTGTATCTAAAGTAGCAAGTTGAGACAAGCAAGGAACATACAATGTACAAACAAACAACTAACAGTTCTAACGATTGAATAGATTTCTTTGAAAGCTACAATTAACAATAGGTTCACGGAAAACGACAATTTGGCGGATATTGAATTTTCTAAACATTAATTCATAAAAGTTTTCGTCGATTTTGACTGATACAATTATACGAATATGTATGTGAATTCTGCTTTTGAAGCTCTCAGTCATGTTATGAATTTTTAGAGAAAAGCACAATCATATAATTTATCATTTCTTCCTGATGCATCTAGCTACACATTGATGTTTCCGGAAAAGTCTAAAAAATCGAAATTTCGAAAACTGACTCATACTCACCGAAAGCGGTCACAAAACGGGATTTTCAGGACTTCATTCACCCCTACTAATTTCCAAAATCTATATGAACCAACATCTATTTTTACAAGTACAATTAAATAAAGTGTCCAATAAATGTTCGTAAACCAAATGATAAGTGGTACAATCTTTATAATAATTGTTAAATATTCACTTTAAAGGGACACCGCATCGATGACCTTTGACTTCATATATACTGTTAGAGACTCGATTCTAAAAAAACATTTCCTATTAACATACTCGACGATCATTCCAGTTTTTCTATCATTCGTGAATATTTATGCAACAGTTGCTCTCGGAAGAGAAATTTTCGGAGCAAAAGGGTTTAGCGAGATTTATGGTATACGCAATATAAAATGCTGTTTCTGAGAAAGTGTCCTCAACGTTTTTAAACATTTGGCAAACAGATAGGTCCACAGATAGCTTTCCTACCAGTCGGCGAAGAACCAATCGGGCTCCTCCTTAGGAGACCGTGAGTAGTCGCGAGGAGTCCAGATAACGTACCGACAGGATTCGGGTAGATACACGTTTTAAAGTTATTACTCACGTCATTGTACAGTTCGCTATTACCTTTGCACCACGTAACAGACATATAGATAATTCTTGATAAATACACTCAAAACAAACACACATAGATGGTTATCCGCTACCACCATCCTTCTTACATTTACAAAATTTTCTTTAATACCATAAACTTAATGTTATGTATTTTGGGGCCATACTTAAGTTAAATGTAAGTTAAGTTGAGGTCTATTTTGATGTGTATTTAGACTTAGTAATGAATAAAAACAACTACAATTCATAATTATATACCTTATTACTAATAAAGATGCGGTGTATTACATATTCGGTATGAAATATTAAACAGCCTTACGTTTTTCTGAAGGTATCGCCGAACAACAGTTATCTATATATCAAAGCGATGTTCCGGATATTTTTCCCAAGAACACATTCCAAGGTCATTAAAATACGGTAAATGTAAACATCTCCAGTCTGTTGATAATTACCAAAGTTACTTAGAATGGTGTCATTAATAACATATAAATGTCAAGATCACCAGAATAAGGTCTTTTAAGTAAATAGTTAGTTAATAATTTCCCATACTTCAACGATGTTACACAGTATAAGAGTTGCAAATTTTAATGAGATATGAAAGCTGAACCAAACAAGGGCAAGAGTAAAACATACTAAACTATATATCAGTCTCTATAATCAGAATGTTTACACAATGAAATTATAATATAAAGCGATTTTACCCTTTTGTATGTCTTAAGGATTAAGTTCATTAGGGCTGCTTACACTCAATGAACATGCTCTCGGCGGACTTGTATTGCCATCGCACGAATACACCTGGGAAATGGAAGCGAACGTAGGAACGCATCAGCCATTTTGGAAAAGATTACAGAATTTCATAAATCTTCATCGCTATCTGTATGTTATTTACCGTGAAATATTTTCACAACAACAAAAATTAGCGGAAAAGTACTTCGAGAAGCCACTGCCTCCACTACTCGACATGCTGAAAAACACTAGCCTTATATTTGTCAATCAAGCCGATGCTATAACTCCGGCGCGACCGAAACTGGCAAACATGATCACGTTCACCTCTCCCCACGTCAATGAAAAAATGACACCGTTACCCCAGGTATGATTCTATTCACTTTACTGTGACAGTTATTATTATACTGCGGATCTTTATGCGATTTCAATATTATAATTAAATATTACACTTGGGATATAAGATATACCTTCTTGAATTGTGTGCATGAAGGGCAGTTTTGGGCTTTCATATTCTTCATAAATGCATAAGAACCTGTCGTCCAGTTGTTATCATCTCAACTGCCAAAATTCGAATAAGTAATACAGTAAATAATTATTTAGATCTGTTTATTAAAGATAGTTTCAGTTGCTTGTGTTCCGATTTCTCAGGAATATTTTTACATACCTCTGCAATTTCTTAAAATATAAATCAAGACTAAATGGAACAGAAAAATATATCACATTCCCGAAATAGGAACAATGCTTTAAGGCCGTACTTTATTAACAGACTAAAAAAATGCAATACTTAAAGTAATCCTCGATTTTTCATGTTCTGAAAGACTTCATTCATAAAGCACATGTTCAAATTGACATCCAATGTGAAACTTTGAATATTGATGATTCATTGTTCACAAATGTATGGAGATATTTGCCAAGAAAATTATTCAATTATTACGTTCAATCTCCATCTTAATCGTACCTAGCGCTAGTTTCTTGATAACGTCGAAAGCAAGTAATTATTCTCAATTCCTTGTGGTAGGATTTGAAACGCTTTTTGGATCAAGCGACTGCAGGATGCATCTACTTCAGCCTCGGCAGCAATGCCATGAGTTCGGACATGCCGAAAGAAACTATACAGGTTTTCCTCGATGTGTTCGATAAATTGCCCTACAAAGTTGTGTGGAAGTACGAGAAAGAGCCGCCAGTTAAACGTGACAATATCTTTTTCGGAAAATGGCTTCCCCAACAAAGTATTCTTGGTAAAATCTTATGTTGCAAGTAACTTGTAAATTCATGTTATATAGGCTTTAATTACTAATTATTAATCGCTATTCACTGTTGCACAGCACATCCCAATGTTAAGATGTTCATTTACCAAGGAGGTCTTCAAAGTACCGAAGAAGCGGTACATTTCACGGTACCGTTATTAGGATTTCCGGTAGTAGCAGATCAGGATTACCAGGTGCTTAGAATGGAAGCCCTTGGGGTCGCAATACGTTTAGAAATCACGACCATCACGAGAGAGAAATTGGAGGGGGCTATTCTAGAACTGATAAATAACAAACAGTGAGTATACATAGTATCTATAATACGCGTGGGATGTACATTTCACAATACAACTAACGAATGAATGACTTTATTGAAAAAATTTCGTTATTTTATTGTTTCTAAAAATGAAGTACGATCACATAAATATGAGACTGCCTTACAGTACGACCGTCTGTGGACAAAAGCACAAAATTCAACTATTCAGATGACGAAAATTCATGGTTACCAATGTGTTGATAAGTTGTCTCTGCAATACAGAATAATTTTTATTTCTATAATAAAAATGTTGTGAAACTAAATTCCGACTCTCTATTTATATAACATTGGACTCAAAACGCAAAATATCCATTGTCATTTAAAAAACTTCGTAATATTCCCATAACGTAAAACAGTATAACCACCGTATGCTTAGCTCTATATTGCACAACCATTGTCTAAAGGATTTTTTTGTATCCCTCATACCTTTAAGTTGTTGAGTTTTGTCGAGACAACGTGCGTCGTACCAAAGATTATCGAAGGTATTGACAAATTTATACATTGTACCAACTGTGAACTGTTTAAAGTATGTAGTGATTTATTGTGATAAATACTGTAAGTAAAGCTTGAGATAACTCCCTGTAATATACAACTTACTTCTAACCAAAGGAATGACAACGTGGCTTCGCATTTGAAGAATGACAGCTATGTTATATATTTTCATATTAAAAATAACAATCTGCACGTCAACAAAAAGTCTACTTTTATCTTTCCAGATACAAGGAAACAATGATCGAACTCAAAAAGACCGTGAACGATAACCCTCACGACATGGTAAAGCATCTAGCGTGGTGGACGGAATACGTGATCCGTCACAAAGGAGCCCCTCATTTTCGATCGACTTTGGCTGATCAACCGTGGTACCAACGCTGCGATATGGACATCGTGGTGTTCCTGACAATCGTAGCCGTTTTAGTAATTTCAAAAACGACCAGTATCATCGCGACACTAGTCGTGCGATCTTACAAACGTTATCGCCTGATGTCCACAAGAGGAAAGCGAAAAATGAATTAGCTATAAATGTGGTGAAACACTGTTATACCTACATAACATTCATGAATTGCCTTTGTCATGTGTTCTGCAGCGGAACATGCTGATCGTTTTAGTAGTTACAAAATATACGAATGTTACCAGAGTGCTCGACGTGTTTATAAGTTGATTTATACGTAGGACAAGGCAGAATTGTACAAATAACTGTTTAATAATAAAAACAATAAATATTTCATAATAAACTATACAATAGTAACTATTTAATATACCGTATTGATTTAATATACAAATATTCGTAACGTATACTTACTTACGTTATCCAACCTAATGAATACACAATTTATCTTGAAATTAGGTCATAATACATGTACGGGACATTGTAAAAAACTCTAATCTCTTGGAGGCATACGGGTTAACGTGCATGGTACACCTATTCCACTTGTGCACGTAAGCATTGCATACCTACCGAAATTTACCCCGACGCGTTAATTGACCCGCCTATCAATTAAAACGGCTCCGCTCCGATAATGCAGCGTCGTAAACACTCTGACTGAAGCATGAGAAGAAAAACGAGTACAATGAGAAGATTACAGTGTCGAGCATACGGGAGGAGGATGCACATCTAAACCGACCCGTGATACGCAGAATTAAAAGACATAAACGCCTATAGGCGATATATGACACAATACATCTGAGTCCGACGTCGTGACTCGGCAGTTATTAAGCAATAGATTCTATTACTGATAGCGCTCCTTCATAAAGCTCTTCTTCCGACAGTCTGCGGTAACGCATCGTCCTATGATCAGTAGTTCCGCGACCAGCGTCTGCAGTCGATCGTTCACTAACGTACCGCCATGAAGTTCACAGTGCCCGGTGCGCTTTTCCTCTTCTGCGTCCTATGTGTCATCAGGCAGTTGCAGTCTGCCAGGATTCTAGCTATCGTTCCAACGCCTTCCTACAGTCATCAGATCCCGTTCCGCCCATTATGGTTGGAACTCAATAAACGAGGTCACGACATCGTACTC